CATTCGTGAAAAATGATATAACAATTGGGGACTAAATTAGTAATATTTGATATGTATGGACTAAATATGTAAAACGACCTATTACTCGGGATCTTTTATGGAATTTACTCAATATTTTTTAATCATATCATTATGTCTTGATCAATGTAACCTTTCATGTACTCTATATTTTTAAAATTTACTAGTACAAATTTATTCTCTAATTTTCCACCCTACCAATGCTTGAATAATTAAATTGAATAAAATTTTATATCGCAATTCAATCTCGAAGTTTAGCTGTGAATGAATGAAGTAATAATTTGAATAATTTTTTTTTACTAATGTTCTCTAATAATATGACACAAAAGAAGAATTAGTGAAGAACTAAGAAGCTTTAGTAGCAGCAACAAGGTACTAAGTCAAGAACTAATAAATGAAAGTATGAGAATTATCACACCCTAAAGCACGAATTATGAAATCATAAAGCGTATGCTAACAACTCTTAGTTTACGACTTAAGAAACATTAGTGCGCCTTAGAGTGCCGCTCGCGCACTGAGTTCGTTAATTCACAAATAGTGAGGGAATTCTGAAAAGTTATGTGCGAATTATGTGTTCTAGGTCTAAACTCATAACAATAATAAAACAATTATGGATAGTTTCTGTTAGTTTTTCCTATTTCAAATAGTTGTGTTGATTTGTAATAGTGTGTTGATTTGTTCTCTATTTATATGAGAGAACACAAAAAATCCAGATAGTGTTTTTAACCATGAAAATTTTGTGTAATTGATTTGTTCTGATCTTGCCCTACAGAACTATCCCCCCCCCAAGTTGTATCATTAACCTGTTCTATTTTGTAAGATGTACTTTCTTTCTTAGTTTGTCCTATAATGATGCTCGATTTCTATTTTAAACACCATTTTTTGGGTTTTTTCCAATTTAACATTTCATCTGCATTTCAACATTTTCTAGGTAGGTCCTATGTTTCTTTTCTCCGTTCTCCGGAAGGATAAATTTGTATACTAAATAGCATCACTTTTTCCTTAAAATGCGACTTAGAATATGAGACTATATCAAGGCGTTGTCTAGGAAATAGGAATCACCTAGACAATGCTTGCCACTGGGAGTTTCTTGCCTAACCAACTCGTTTGATGATGCTAGGCGTCCAAATATCACCTAAATTGGCTTAAAAGCAATAAAAAGTCACTAATGTTTTTTCAAACTAAAACTTCTACTAACAAATAGGTGTCCTTTCTTCTTAGTCAACTCATAGTCCAAAGTGAAATGCAGAGTTGGTTAGTCGACTCCTAGTTGATAATAGGAAGCTAAAAAGTAGAGTCAAAGCTTGGAACCAATGCGAGCACGATGTATCTTGCCTCCAATCCTACACGCAGAGCCCCACTCTTGTATTTTAGATTGTTAAGGAAGCCAGTTTGTTTTTCTTTGCAGCGACTTGGTCGATTAGATTGTCTAAGGGGGGTGTATTCAATCACGATTCTGAAAGATTTTGATATATTATTTAAAGTCTATGGATTATGTAAATTCCATGGATTATTTCAAGTCTAAGTAGAGTTTGTTAGATTTTAATGTATTTTATCAGCAGGATTTTATAGGATTTTGTCTAATTGTTTATAATCCATATACGGAGTATTATTTATACATAAATATGAATTATTTTATAAAGTTATACATTATTGTATTGTAATTAGCTATTAAAAATTTTGAGAAGATTACAATAAAATAAAAATAAATTATTTTTCAATAACAGATTAGGGTTCACAATTGGGGATTTTGAATGCGTCCAATCTCAGAACCTCAAAATCCAAGTGGAAAGCTGCAATTTACCAAGGGAGATTTTGATCGACATATTGGAGAGACTCCTGGCAACTTATGTGATTTAAATCCCTTTGCAATTTACCAAGGGAGCTTCAAAAAAAACACACAAACACATGTAGAAGAAGAAGAAGGCAAAGGGGACAAAGATGAAGAAGGATGGTGTGAGGAGGACATACCTGAAGAGGTGGAGAAAAGAGGAAGAAAGGGAAGGAGATGAGGAGTAAGAGGAAGAGGACCGGCTCTTTGGAGAAGATGAACGGAGGAAGAAATGGAGAAGATGAACGGAGGAAGAAGATCGGCTCTTTGAAGTCCACACAAATCCCTGGCCTTTTGATTGGATTTGGAAGCAGTTTTTTTATTTATACTTCAACCTCAAAATCCATCACAATCCATTTTTTATAACAATCTTTAAAAATCTATCAATTTTTCAATATCATTAGATTTAGAAAGATTTTTTAAAATCTCAATTGAATATCTCAAAATTTTAAAGGACTTTTCAAAATCTCAATTGAATACTCATTCACTTTTAAAATCCAAAAAAATCTTGCAGAGTCGGAATTGAATACACCCCCCTAAGTTTTTCTCTGCTGTTTGTTGATTTAATTCATGAGCTACCAATGTAATGTTTTATGTTTCACCATAATCTTTGGCAATTTTTACTCCTCCCTGTAGTGTTGTTAGTGTTGATTTTTAAATTATGAGGCTGGTTTTATTTTTACAATTTTTGATTGATCTAATTTTTACAAGTGTTGAATTTTGGGATTTTGTAGTTTAGTTGTTTCACATGGATTTTAAACTATGATGAGTTTTTATAGAAGTCAAATCCTCTTACATGTTAAAGTCTCATCACAAATGAAAAACTCTAAAATGATATAAATGTGGAGTAAAGACATGATTAGGACGGGCTAACACCAAAATAAATTGAATATACAAAGCAAACTAGGAAAGAAATGTAGGACCATCATTCCTTACCCTCAAACGGCTTTAGTTTGGGGACGACCCCTTTTGATCTAAGCCTCATATGATCTCTGAACCAAAACAGTTTGTGTGACACCATTCGGTTTTTCAGAGGCTTGTAAATAACATTTTGAAGTCATGTCATGTCCAAGGCTGCTTGGAGAAATATTCATTGTATCTGAATAGTTCCCTCAAAAGGACTTGGATAAAAGAACCAAATGCATGAAACATTTGGCCCCAATTGATATATGCCCCCTAACTAAGCCAACATGAAATCGTCATTGTAATGACATTCATAAAGCTTCTCTAGAGGCATCGTGCACCTGAGTATATATTGAAAATGATATGACTTGGACTAAACTTTTACTGAAAAATCGCCGGTTATTGTGGCGTGAAACAAGGATAAGTTTCAAGCAATATTCTTCATGTTAGAAAAATGATAGGAAGAACAAATCAAATGCAGAATAGAATTGTGATTTTTTTTTGTGAACTACATTCAGGAATTCTATGTTCTTGGAATATTTATAGACAGCAACCAACACAACTATTGGTACTAATCAACACATCTATTACTAACTAATACAACTTCCAGAAATAACTACCTATAACTTCCAGAAATAACTACTCATAACTGTCCCTTTTATTTTTAAAATCTAAACTAACTAACTTCTGACCAGGAATTAAACAATACGATTAAATCTAACACTTCAGGCTAGTTTCCCTTTAGTCTGCAAGCACCCGTCAAAATGCCATTGAAGTGGCACTTACTGTTGACTCAGTTATTGAGCCATTTAACAAAGGATACTCCAAACCCCATAATAACAAATGAAGAATACCATATAGGCAAATAGTGATTATAAACATATCTAAACATCTATCTAAAATATTGTATATGCTTAATGATAAGTCCGTTTTTTACGCACTTATTTGCTCCATATTTGATGTGTTATTGTCCAATTTTGAATCAACCAAGACAAGTTCTCGTTTGTTTTTATAAGTTTCTGTTCATAATTATAAAAGTGCACAAAAGTCATGTCTCTATTTTAAAAGAAATAAAAGTTGGGTCAAAAGCAGTGCAAAAGTGTCAAGAAAGAACAATTGCAAGACTAAGGAGCAAGGGGCAAAAGATGGTGGAAGTTAAAGGAGTAAAAAGTGCATAATAAAATGTGATGGTGCACCATGTCAAAAGATTTGAAGTCAAACAAATTGAAAAATAACCCAAAAAATTTGTTTGGATCGAAAAAAAACAATGATTTACCTCAAAGTTAATTTTTTTGATCCAAATCGGATTGAAATTTGAAGTTGGCGCAAAAGGAAAAGTTCATCTGAATGAAATTTTGAGCAGAATAGGCTTTTGAAAATTAAATTTCGGATTCGGGCAGCCAAAGCCTTGGGTGAGGCCTCACCAAATTTTTCACTTATAAAAGCCTTCCTTCGGCCCTCATTTTTCACCACCCCAATTCCGGGGTCTTCCAAGGCCCGGTACCCCAATTTAGCTCTTGTTTTCAGTTTTATTTTAATATTTTAGCATAGTTTTGTTCCGGTTGTCCCAAAGTGGCTCCGACTCTGCTCATGGTTGTAAGTTTTATTACTTCCAATTTTAATAAAATGTTCTTTTTTCAATGCACTGTTAATATTTAGTAGGAGTTAGGACCCACATTAATGGTAGGATTACTTGTTCTAGAATTTATTTTCTTGTTATATTAATTAATTATGTCAGAGATAAATTCATTAATTATTGGAAATTAGTTATTGCCTTGTCTATGTGGATATAAATTAATTAAGCCAAACTTTTTAGAACACATCAATGGTACCTTAACTAGGATAAGTTAATGAAAAATTTGTGACAAATATTATTATTCCAATTATTAATTAAATATTTGACAACAATAGTTAACCTTGATGATGCCTTGGCCCAAAGTCTAGTCCTATACCTTACTATTTATTTTCTTCCTTCCAAAAGCGCTCAGTAGTGTAGATTTTCCCTTCACAAATCGAACCGAGAAGACTTCCAGACTCGTCATAACCTTCGCCTAATTTTATTATATTTATCATTGATGATTTGTTACAAGCAATCGCCTAGGTGGTGGCCTAGGCTTTCTGGCCGTCCACTGATGACACACTTCACTTGGTGCCATGATAACTATTCATGGGTAGAGTATTTATTAAAGTATTTTTTTAAAGAAAACATTCTGTGGAAAGAGAATGAGAAAAAAGTTTCAAAATGTACCTGGTCCTATCAACAGCGGATGCACCAGCCTGACCAGCAAGTTGGCGCTTCCATGCATAGGCCACAACAGCTCCATCAGGACAGACAAGTGGCATATGGAGGCCCCATGAATTACTTCGCAAACAAAGTGCATCATTCAGAACACCCGAATCTTCCAATTGTCTACCTAACAGGGTAACACAACGTTAGACTTGATGATCTGTTACTTTGCATCAAAAACAAGTCAGTAAAAAATGGAAGGAAGAGAGAGTCTGAGTGTAATCTTATGTGGCAAAAATCTAAAGTGCTGATGTGTTCTCTCAGGTCAGATCAGATCTGAAAAACATAATCATGAAGTAATACAGGCCTTAACCTTCAAGAAGCATTTTTTTGTCATGAGGTAATGGTAGGGATGCCAAACTAAAATGATGAAAAAATATTGCCAGAACCGTGTGAAGACAAGGAATACTCTCATATAGATGGTTGGTGGAGAACACTTTGGGAAATGCTCACAAATTGAGCGTCTAGCGGTTTGTGGAGGCAAAACTGGCCCTGCAAACCCCAATTCGGGATTGGCAACCCCACTTTGTGGCTGTGTTTCAACTTTCAACACAAATAGGTAACCACTTTTGGGATTAAGGTGTCAAGAATATTAAGCCCAAGACTCATGCCCCTCATATATAATCTTTGTTGTCATGAGATCTTGAAACTCGCAATAACCAGGAAAGAAAGCCACTAAACAGTTAAAGACTCAGAGTACAGAGAACAAATGAAGAGTTAGGTAGAATTAAAATAAAGAACAAGGAGATTGCGGGAGTGGGAACAGCTGGCCTGATCCAATGAGGTAGACCCATTAGCTAGAATCGTAACTCACAAGGGACTTGGGTGAATGAGATTTACAGGGAGAAAATAGATGTTGATTACCTACCATATGATCTATGGCAGCTGAGTTAATGACCCACTTGGAAGATGATGCAAGAGGAATGTGTTTTTATTACCTAAGTACATGAATTCTGTGATCGAGACCGATGAAGGCTTTTGAAAGTTATGATACTGGTGAATTGAGCAAACTCAAACGCAGATATCATAAATAGATTTTTTGGACATCTTGTTTATGGGGGCAAAACTGGCAGCATGGGATCTTCAGTTTTTATACTAACATTTCCTGCAAACCTATATCATGGGTCCTAACTTATTGCAGTCCCAAAGTTTGACCATGAGGGTCTCTACACAGTGTGGTTGAGTAGTTTTGACACCAAGCTACGGTGACATAATATGAGACCAAAGCCATATGGGGGGCCCTACGGTGCTCCAAGAGACCACGAACTCGAGAAGCATAGACAAACCATAACACCAAAAACAATCAAAGAGCAAATATAAAAAAAGTGCAAATGGGCAAAAAACACACAAACAGATACGGAGTACAAGGCAAAAGACATCGAACCTATAAAACACTGCAACAAGAACAAAAACAACTACTCCGGTCCAAACAACACAAAACCCGCACAAACCCACCAAAGTAAGAAGAAAGATTGAAAAACTACTATGGAACGAACCTAAATAAATTGGGTAAAGACCTAGAAAATGTTGGGATACAAACCAATACCTCACCGGAAGAAAAAGGGAGAATGAGCCAAAATTTATATGGTTACCCAACCCCATTAGTATGAGGCCTTTTGGGAGGTGCCCAAAACAAATTCGTGAGGGCTTGGCTCAGAGCGGACAATATCATACTAATGTGGGGTTGAGGTGAAGGCACACGCGGTCTCAACAGGTGGTACCGGAGCCCAAGTTTGTGCAGGCTGGAGTGGCAAACTCGTGCGGAGTTCTTGGTGTGCCTGGTGCGACAACCTAACCGAAGGTTAGCAAACGGTGCCTTGTATCGAAAGTCTTCCTGCTAAGTGGTGGTCGGGTGAAGTATCCTGTTTGGTATTAACGGCGGTACAAGATGATTTGTTAGATCAAATGGTGTGACCTTAGCGGAATGGTGGTCTGCGGTATACCTTGTGTCGGAAGTCTTCCTGGACGAGGTCAGGCGGCGTGTCACGCAGGCAGCGGTGCAAGATGGTGTGCAGATCAAAAATGGATAATTGTTGGAAGGGGAGGTCGCGAGATTGTGCTATCTTGGTTTGAGGGGAGGTTTGTTGGGATACAAACCAATCCTACACCGGAAGAAAAAGGAAGAATGAGCCAAAATTTATATGGTTACCCAACCTCATTAGGTATGAGGCCATAGTTATGAAAGGCGAGTGGCGGGCGAGAGGACCTTTTTGTGGCGACAAGCATGGCGAGTGGCGGTCAATCAAATAGCGAACAAAAAAAGGCGTATATGTGTGTGTGTGTTTGTGCGTGTGTATATATATATATGTGTGTATATATAACACAAATTCAAAAAACTAAATAAGAATAAGATACTTATTTCTTAGTGATCCGTTATTGTGCGACTACTGAGGTGGAGTTGCATGGAAGGTGAATTGATTGGAAGAGACGAAGAGTGGAAGATCGACTAATGAATTGTGAGAAGAGTAGGGGTTACGGGCAGAGATTGAAGTAATTATGGATCACTTAACTAGAAACAGGCTCAAGCCCAATTCCACTCTATTTAGAAAGGTTAGTGAAAAAAATAATTTCGAATTGAAAGGCAAGATCTACGCTCGCCTTACGCCTTAACTTGCAACGAAATGGCGACCTCAATTGCACGCCTCAGGCACATCGCCATTCTCAGCCAAATTTAGGCGTTCTACCCTCGCCACACCGCCATAAACGCCATAGGCGACCATGGCACTCGCCTTTAATAACTATGTATGAGGCCTTTTGGGAGGTTCCCAAAACAAATCCGTGAGGGCTTGGCCCAAAGCCGACAATATCATACTAATGCGGGGTCTGGGTGAGGGCACGACACGCGCGCTTTCAATAGATAAACTAGGAAAACATCCAACTAAATCAGAAGAGAGAGTGAGAGACTATGAACAACAATTGAAAACAACAAAAGCCCCACACAAATTACAAGCCTACAAATTGAGAGCGATGACACCAGATTGGCTATTTCAGGCTGCTCATTATCATATATGAGGAAGGTTTGAAGAAGTGAGTCAGTAAATAATGCTTAAATGATGGATGAGAGAAGAACAAAAAAGCAGGAAAGAAGTGGTGGACGGTAGAAGACAAGAGAGAGGTGAGACTCTCTCTAGGGTTTTAAATTTTAATAGTTCTACTCCACCCTAAGTGATTCCAGCCTTTTTTCTTCTTTTCAGTGAATTTCAAGGTTATAAAAATTAGTCATAGTAACAGATTTATTCTCAGTCATGTTTGCAGAAAATAAACAAAGCAGTCGTGGACCAAGAATACAACAGACCTTACTTAGGGAACTCAAAAATGTGCAATTGGTGCAAATATGCCAAAATCTGAATGTAGGGTCAAGCAATTCAAAAAGTAGTGCGCAATAAAGATTGTGGTGGACAGAGGCACAAAAGCCACCCATTATACTGAATATCTTTTTTTAAGATTACAGTTGCTTTTATAATACCTTGTATATACACCATAGCAGAACTAACCAAAGATAGATTCTGAAATTTATTGCCAACAACCAATGAATTGTTAAAGGTCGTCGGAAAAGGACTTGTTAGGTAGTGTCATGTTCTTCTAAGAGAGACAAGGGCATTGGTGCAAAATTTGGGCCAAGATCTGCAGCAAGATAGGACTATTGGAGATTAAGAAAAATATGGAACAGCAGGTTCCAATGATACCATTCCCACAAAAAAACGCCGAAAATTAAGAATGGCTTTAAAAACAGGCCCGGATGCCATATTATTAAAAGAAGGAAAAATGCATGTTTTTTTACAAACATATATATAGCTAATTAAAGGGACGATGAGATATGTAACTATGATGTCGTACTGAACTAAGCGAGATGTGATAACGATAAGATGGTGGTTGTGGTTCTATATAATTCTAAAGTTATTACTTATTACACGTATAAACAAATTCTGGCAGCCATAATACAAAGTGGTGCACAAAAATGCAGATGGAACATTCACGTAGGAGTTGGCCAATAGGTCGTTTAGTCTTAATGACTTACGAACCTTTTAGTCTTTTACAAATTAAAAAAAACAATACATGGATTTTACACAAAATATTGTTTTACATTAAATGAAATATGATTATCTTATGTATAACATATAAGTAATGACTATAAAAGGATAACATGACACACAATGTTTTTGCATAGGGCCTCTCGATTATAGGACTAGCCCTTCTGTGGTTTTCCAACGACGATGAGTGCCAGATGCTGAGGTCACTTAAAGGTTGAGGAAGGATGAGGTCATGTGGCGATTTTAATTTTCGAAAACGACTATCAGGAATGAGTAAAACGGTATAGCAGAAACCTCCATAAGCACTGTTATAGCAAAGAAGAATGACAAAAAAGTGAGTAGGAAAATTACAATCACAGAAAGACGCTTAGGTCTCGCTTCAGTACCATGTTAAAACTAAAAGAAGATTTAAATCAATTGCTTGCAGAATAAGTGTAAAATTTCATGCTAAAGTATATAAAATGAAGGTGCCCAACAACGTGCTAAAGTAAAACATGGGTTGCAAAACAATGGGCAACAACGACAAGTTTTACTTTGGCTATAAATGGTGAATTGCGAGTTTGTAACTAACTTCTCATACTTATAAACTTCCCATCCTCCGAAATATCACAAAATCATTGCACTAGCCTTACAACTTTTCAGCAACACCTTAGCACTGTGTTAGCACTTCACAGTTTTTTCTTTATATTTCTGTAGTACTTTTATTGTTTGCAAATTACTATTCTTATCAAACTCTTATGTTTCCACAATTATCCGTGGCTTATGTACATACGGAGCTTAAAGCAACAAGTACATTTGAAAGTCCAAGAGATATAGTGCATGACATCTAAGCTTAAATAGAATATAATAATACACTTCGGTTTAAATGACATTGAACCTCAATGTCATGCCATGACACCAGTCCCAGGCCCGGGTTCTCTGTTGGGTCAGAAAGTGGTACCTACCCCTAAACCCAAAATGCCTAAATGGTACTAGTAAATTTCGGGGAGGGGGGGTTTTGGGGTTAGGAGTAGGAACCAACCCAAAGGAGCAAGGAAATTAATTTTTTTAAAAAAAAAATAAATATGAAAGGTGAAGTTAGGTACCAAGAGCGCGGAGGTCTTGCAAGTGTTGGCGCATGGAAGCTTCTTCGTTGATGATCAAATTCTCGGGTCTGGATGAGTGCTGAAGCTGAGCGGCCATGAATAGGACTTCAAGGAGGCGGTCAGCGCCGAGTCTGATATCCGCGATCAGTCGGCCAGCCTGCCCTAGCCGCTCCAGGGCCATGGCGACCTGTTTGGGTGGCGCGTCGGCCGCCGAGCTATTTGAATCGGTGTGCGACGATACGGTCGGAGCCGCTGCGGTCACGGCGGTTTGTAGCATTTTCAATTGTACGCCGCCTGTGTGCGGTTGGGAGGGTTGAATCTTCCACAGCTATTGCGACGTTTGATATTTGTGGATGTTAGGGGGGAGCTTGTATTTTAAGGAACTTAGCTCGTATACGGATGTCGTTTCAGAAGCACTGTGGTTTAGTATGCATAGGTATATTTTGGTATCTGTTTCGGTACAAATCGGGATGAATATATACGTACATAGTTTACATCATAAAAAGTAACAAAACATTTTATTTTTGAAAAATTGAACGTACATTTAACAAAAGAAAGATGAAAATTTAAAAATGAAAAAATAAAATAGAAGAAATGCTTATGAAAGTTAGTTTATATTTTACATACTAAAAAGAACGAGTAATAATAAAGTATTATTTCAAATATTTTTTAATATTCTTATACTCATCTACAAAAAATAAAAAACTCTTGTTAAAGTGCAACTTAAACATAATGAAATTAAACAAAATTGTCTATATAAATTTTTTATTTAATAAAGAAATATAAAAGGATTATTATTTTTAAAATATATTAGCATAAATGTTCGTTTCGGAAATTTTGGTATGGGAAGTAACCTCGTACTGTTTCAAAATACTGGACCGACCATTCGGTTCGGTACGGTTCGGTTTCTTTTCGATAAGTTATCGGTTTGGTATTTTTTGGTTCGGTATTCTCAGTTTTTTCGGGAAATATCTAGATCGATTCAGTCCTTGCTCACCCCTACTGAATGTGATTCGTTTTATTTTGATTACTAGCGTCCACAGCTATATTAATTCTGATGAATGAGATTCGATCAAATCTAATCTAATCAACATGATAAATTGCTTAACTTATAACTAGTTGACTTATTTCTTTGTACTTATAAGTCTCAAAAAAAATAAATAGATTTTACATATTTATTTGTACACTAGATTTTTTGTTTCTAGGTTTTGATTATATTATTTATAAGAGAGAACTTCTTAGATAAGAGTAAAAAATTATGAAAATACTAAAATAAGAGTCATAAATCTTTTTAGACCAAAATAAGAGTTTACACTGTCATTGTTATGCTGCCACACTTATCCCATTGTCATACTGTAACAGCCACACGAATACTGCCACGCTTTCATCTGTTGCCTCCGGCCACTAAAGTGGCGCTATGAATCGTCGACGATTGACTGACCACACCGATACGTTACATTGTCATCACTTTTTTATCACACTATCCACGCATATTCTTACACCACATAGTCATTATACTTCTGTTTTAATCTTAAAAGACTTAGGACTCATATTTTGGTACTTTCATACTTTTTTACTCCTATTCATGCAAATTTCCTTATTTATAAAACAATCTCTCGGCTTTTATAAATATCCTCTAATAACTTATTTATCATTTAAAGCTTTTATTTCCACAAAAAAAATATTATTTTATAAGCAGCCTATAAATTTTTAAACAAACAGTTTATAAATTAAAAATTGACCATCAGCAATAAGTCAATAAACAATAACAGAAAAAAACCCAATTAATGTTCGTTCGCTTTAACTTATTTTTTTCAGCTTATTACTTGTTGTTATTAAATCAAATCAGATTGGATCACCTCAGATATAATTAGAATAGATCATATCCAATAAAATCTAATCCAATCAGATTTAATCAAATCCGATCTAATTAAATCGGGTTGATATTTGATTCTACTCCTCAAATATCCTCAAGTGTATATTCTAAACACGCCTACGTAGATGTGAAATCAATGTTTCTATACTTTTAGTAATGCCAGAACAATTTGTTTGATTTATAATTTAGACCAGATTGAGCTAGACTTTCGTGTAGTGTTCAAATAATATTGGTCTCATCAATCAAGGTTAAAGCCCTATAGGTCACATAACATTTCATGATCACTAGATATGGTACCTACCCCTGGCAACCTACAATTTATATAGTACAGCCGAGTGTACTGTTCTTTCGGTACAATGGGCAAATGAATCTAAGGGGAGGCCGATAATTGAATCGAAGAGAATGCGCTGCATCAATCTAAGGGGAGGCAGCAGCAGAACCCTAGGTGCGACAAAGTGGAGCATGGTGGCAGCGATCGACGAGCACAACACCATAGGGACAAAACCCTAACCGTGGATCCTACACAGCCATCTCGTCCATCCAATATGTTGATGGAACAAGCAAACAGAAGCGTTAGGGCACGTGAAGATGACGGCGGCGATAACCACTGATTCTCCATGAATAATTTGGTGGGATGAACGGCAAGTTATTTCAGAATAAACACTTCGTTATATGAAAATGAACATTGCGTTATTTTAGAATAAACACTACGTTATTTATAAATGAGTAAGTAATTGTAATGAACATATGTGTAAAAATAAACACTACGTTGTTTCAGAATTAACACTACGTTGGTTCAAAATGAACACCATATTATTTGAAAAAATACTTTGTACTCCAAAATGAACACTTATATTTTCTGCAAAAATGAGTATTACTTTACTCCAAAATAAGTACTCCGTACTATCCAATTGTATCATAGTTCATGGACAACTTCGTGTATAATATACACACTCCACAGCCCAATGTGTCTAAAACCTCAACCGATGAGTTACACCTAAGTTGAAGTCCTTGAGATGGTTCGACAGTCCAAGGACACTATGTAGCATAAACTCCACTTCCCATGGCACTGGTACATGATGGGTGAAATTGTATTTTTGTAAAATAGTTTATTCACATGCTGAGATTGTTGATTGAGATCCATGTAAAAGAAAAATAATATGAACATCTTTTGTAAAAGGGGAAATGCAAATATAATTTTAGGAACAACAAAAAGGGGAAAGAAAAATCACACTATTGTTCATCGGCACTCGAAAACTTTCAAGCCAGGACTTCATATTTTTAGGGACGCGTAATGTAAATGTACATATAATCATATAATTCATAATGTGATGTATAAATGTTCACTTGAACATACTAAAAGTTAAAACAAAAAAGAAAGAAAAAGAGAGAGGAAAATGGCAGTTCAGGAAAAAAGAAAAAATAACAATCTCCTTGCTTCATGGCACTTTGGAGGGAAATATGCCATTGTCTCTCTTCTTTCCCTAAACTCAAATCAGCTGTCCCTTGTGCTCCTTATTAATAATTATTCTTCAAACGAAATAAACCTCAAACCCCCCAAAAAAAATTACTTTTGGTCGCTAGTGCAAACAGTATTGGATCTTACCTCTATTCGTACGAATGGGGTACGAAAGTTCTGTAGTGAGCAAAGAAAAAGGCTTGTAGAGGCGATGACTAGAACTTGTTGAGCTTTAGAGAGCGAATAACTGACAGGTCACAGCACAATTATCCACACTTCTTTATGCTTACGAAGATTGAACTGCCAGCCGCTGAAGATGCTCGAAGAATACTTGAAGACTCACATCATCAGTAAGGATGACATCTGTTCCGGATGCAGCCATATCATGTGCACTATTATATGTTGCAGAAGGATTCAACTTTGCCAACAGAAACCTTGCCTGTTGAACATTGTGTTTTTATGTTCCATTAGGAAAATTAAAATCATGCATGAGAAATTTCAAGAGGATTAAAGCCATCAAAGCCCCATATATAAAATCCTTTAAGTAAAGCATGTGCTCATTAGGGAGCTACAAGTCAATAACCCAAATCAATTAACAATAATCATTTAACAATAATCATTAACAATAACCCAAATCAATTAACAATAATCATTTCGTCTCACTATATGGCCAGGACTGATAGTTTGAAGATGTCTTATTCAATCTGCTGATAAACCATTTCCCATTTATTGAGGCAAAAAGATGAGAGGCTATATATGTGCCAATAAATTGAAAACTGCATGCAGATTACACAGCAGCTTTGACTTAACGTACAGTAAACCTTAAAATCAGTAACTTATTATTGCTCTATCTTCTTTATGTACAAAGGAACAATCGAATCTAAAACTTTTAGTGATCAAGGGATCACAAAATGGATCCATTATGAACACAAGAATAGTTGAATGAGAAAAGTTGGTGACCATTGCATTTCCAAGAGTAGAGACACACACGATACCGTACTGCACAAATGAATGCCACATATACACAATTGCAACTTCAACAGAGGAAGGAAAATCACCTGGGATTTATGCTGATCACAAACAACTAATCTTGGTACAGGAAACCGCTCTTGAATTAGTAACCTGGCCTCATCATGCGGAGCTTGCAATAATTGTGCAAATGCCTGGGAATAAATATGATGTATTAAGAAATAGGTGTTCATTTAGTTGAAAAACATATAAGCCAGAGATTTGGATGAGAATTTATTAATGTACTCGCTACCGGTCTGACACCCCATGTAAGACAGCTATAGTTAAGAGGTATGCCATAGAAAATGTGTGGCTGATGGATGAAGCATATAACTTGTATGAGGATGGAGAAATTACAGATATAATTTGAAGTTAACAAAGTGTTGACATGCAATTGGAAAAGCACGCAATAGAATCTCAATCCAGGTAATTCCATCAGACAGCAATTACAGAGTTTTTCATGGGAATGAATCAATCAACATAGAAAGGCGCTACCAAGATTGATATTTCCCATTATCATGAACTGATTCCCAGTTAGCCTTGACTGAATTCTGGTGGGTGGCTGGAATTGGAGCTGAATGTTCCATTCCAGCCATAATTTTTTTTTGTAAGATGAATAAACTCTTGGTCATTTACCTCTCTATATGAGGTCTTGCGTTGTCCCGCTGAAGATTCACATTTTTGTTCACTAATGGCCACTTTCCCTTAATTGCTGGAATGATTTTATTGCACATCATGTCTTTCATCACATTCTTACTTACATTACATATGGCTTTTGTTTATAACATTCCAATTGGTTGCTTACACGTGAATGGGAAAATGCCCACTTTTCCATCAGACGATACTACCCCGCCATCCCGAAATATTGGTATTCCAACTATGGCCAAAAACATAACTTTGGGGATGAATGACTTGGACTGTGCACCTCTGTAAGGCTCAATTTCAATAGGCAGTGCATAAAATCTTGTGCTTTCTTTTGATAGGTAAATATTTCTTGTCAATGTGTAGGTACTAGGTAGTCATAGAAATGGTGTAATATGGGGGTTATTTGGATGGATTGGAGAACAAGGTGACTCAAACAAATGTGGAGTCTTTTCAACTTACCTTTTT